TGGTGGTGTGCCTGACAGGTCTTTGAAAGAGTAGATTGCCACGGATTAATGTTCCATAGCGATCCTTACATCTGAAATATGCAGATGATAGTCTATAGCATCCTCTACAAGTCCACGAAAGAAAGAAATCTCCATCTGTCATGGTTAGGCAGAGGACTTTTGCTGGAAGTTGTTGGACTATCTGAAACTTCCGTTTGGGAACTCTAAAACACATGGAAACATGGATTTTCGATCATGCTCTATCACGTGGCACTGCTTGTTTTCAGAAAAAAAATCAAGGAACCTAGTGAAAATCTACGTTAGGTGAAATAATCCGTTTTTGAACATCTTTATCGAAATTTAAAAAATTCATAACTCAGTCAAAATCGATCCAAACTACTATAAAATTTCAGCATATACCCCAATTTATCTGTCGTATACTATGGAACTCAACAAAAGTTCCAAAAACCAATAGAACCTACTTCGGTTTTTCTTCTGAAAACAAACAGTGCCATGTGACAGAGCATGATCGAAAATCCATGTTTCCATGTGTTTTAGAGATTCCCAAACAGAAGTTTCAGATAGTCCAACAACTTCCAGCAAAAGTCCTCTGTCTAACCATGACGGATAGAGATCTCTTTGCGTGTTGAAGCTACTCAAAAAACGTCTGCAGTCAGTGTTTTTTGGTTTCGATAATAGTCCTGTTTTGTTTTTAGTCAAAATGTTAAAGATATTGTTTGTTTATTTTGTCATACAGAAATATGTGTAGAAAATGGGTAAGCTCTATAAAATATATTCCTTTTGCAGGCCTAGAAATGCGATAACTAAACATGCAAAAAGATAATTTCAAGTGTATTACCTTGAAGAATTCTACATTCTATATTAGTCTACACCTGTATGGTCAAGTGTAGTCAAAACTATAGGGAGAGATACTATACAATTTTCAGAATTGAAACTATATTAGCTAGAAATTGTTTCGTTTGACAGCAGTAATTATAATGTAAAACGATTTATTTTAGATGAACAATAATGATAGATAAAATCGTCTACTTATATTTCTGGCTATCAGTGATTCACTTCATTATGACACTTCTTAAATTTAATGCGACAAGGTCAGACTCAGCTTGATCTTGTTGGTTTGTATGTTCTGTTATGCAATTATCCAAACACACACTGCACAATGCCATTTCTCTATTGAAACATATCAGTCTCAAGTATCATACCAGTGGTATGATACTAGTCCTATCAAAAGAGAAAAAAGCATTTAACGTTTATTCATTTTGTCGTGATATTCAATTACAACTTTACACTCTTATGACGATGTGTATGGTGACTAAAAATGAAAAAGAGGTTCTTTTTTTCAAAGAATTTTTTTATATACACGTAGTTGACTTTAGAACCTTCTAATATGTCATCAATTTGTACACGCTGTCACGTATTAAAACGAAGGTCAAATTTCTACGGGAGGTCTCTACCTTTTTTTCTTACAAAATGTGTGATATAAATTATTGGACAATAATAATTTTTTCAGTACTACAAGTGAATGGAATAGTATATAAACACCAGAAAGAGAACGAGTTCTACATACATACAGCTCCCTTTGAACGTAAACTGTATCAGTTTAACGTCATCATCAATATACAAATTCAAACAATGTTAGATGTGGGCGTTATATATAAAAAAATTTGTATTTTTCAAGAGAGGAAAAAAAAATGAGATAATAAAAAGTTGATATCTAGTTATGTTATAGGTTTGAAGAACATGATCTATATTATATGATGTGTGTACGCTGAGATAAGAAATGACCGAGACGAGCTTTAAAGACAGGTAGAGACGACAACACAAATAGAAAGTACACTGACGAGAGAACTTATGGAAGTGTCTCTCTCAGTTTTTCTTCGAACATATGCCGATCGATAGCATATATCGAGATAGTAAAAAGCCTAAAAGGATTTTTGCCCATGGCTCTTCCTTCAAAAATTAGTGCAGTTTTTCTGTTTTTCCTACCGGAAATCGAGAAAAATAGAAAAATGCATAACTCCGTCGGATTAACTCGTATCCACCTGAAGTTTATACACCAGATAGGACTGTGCAAACACTGATTACTCTGAAAGTTTCAGCTCTCTAAAACGTTCCATTCCCAAATTATAAAGTTTTCTATAATAATAGAGAAAATCTTAGGTGTTTTCTGTACTGTGTACATTTGTTGTTGTGTCTACTATATTCTCTTGCATTTAGAGTCACACCTATTCTCTGTTTGGAACGTGCTGGAGAGCTGATACTTTCAGAGTAATCAGTATTTGCACAGCCCTATCTGGTGTACAAACTTCAGGTGGATACGAGTTAATCTGACGGAGTTATGCATTTTTCTATTTTTCTCGATTTCCGCTAGGAAAAACAGAAAAACTGCACTAATTTTTGAAGGAAGAGCCATGGACCTTCGATGGGAAGAGCCATCAACCTTGAATTACTGCAAAGAATTTTCTTCAGATTTTATTAAGCGTATCACCGGAACAAAAAAAAATTGGTTTTGAGTTGCTGGAAAGTGCTTTTTCATATTCAGCACACTCGATAACCTCGAAGATTTTCTGTTTTTGACGCGGAGCACTTCCAAAAGTCTAGGAAAAATTCTGAAACAAAATGATGCAAAAAATTTCCATAGAAAAATAATATTAGTTTGAAAATTTTTCCTAAACTTTTCGAAGTACTTCCTGCCAAAAATAGAAATGCTGAATACGAAAAAGCGCATTTCAGCAACTTAAAACCAACTTTATTGTTTCCGGGTGTTATGAAAGTTTTGATTTCCATGTGGCATAACGAACAGTTTATTAATCACTTGACCTGACTTTTTATGTCCTACTGTTATCTTTGATTTTATTAGATCCGATAGATTAGCACACAAATAATACGTTCCTGGCTTCACTCTAGATAAATTATTTATCCTTAAAATCATATTTAATTGTAGTGTTTATTTCTGATTTCTTCCTAAAATGAATCTTTATTAGCAACATTTCAAACTACTTTGACTGTTTCAGACTTTTTTTTTTTAATTGTTTACTCAGTCTTTTCTGCCGAAAAAAGGTTCGGTTTTGAAATAAAGAACAAGTTGCTCGAAAATATTCATGAAACGTTCTATTTTCTTTCAACTTCTCTATATCAGCAAAAAAAATCATCTTTACATTATCAGTCGCAGCTGGAAAAAGTTTTAAGATAAATGTTCTGTTTGCTGGTTTTTTCAAAGCTGATAAAGATGTGTTCATATTATTCATTAGGACCGTGCCTCAGGATCTTGATGGAATCTTACTTGAGCTGTTATCTTCCACTAGAGCTTCACAGCCCTGCAGGTTAGCCCTAACCTTACCTAACCTAATATAACCTATAGGTTAGGTTAGGATTAGGTTGCCGAGTTCATAGGTTAGGTTAGGATTAGGTTGCAAAAGTTATAGGTTAGGTTGTAGGTTGCGTTTTCATTTTTTTTAGTTTTGCACAAGCGAAATTTTTTTCTGATTTTGATGCATCCATGCTTAATTCTTTAAAAGGCAAAAAACTCAGTGACATGTATGTTTACGTTTATCAGATATGCGTGTAATGTTCTGTGGGTTGAAAACAAAAAGTCACAAGATAGGTTAGGATTAGATTGTGAAAATTTGTATAGATTAGGTTTTAGGTTGCCAAACAGTGGCAATCTGCGGGGCTCTGTACATTCACCATTTTACACTATATAGAGCTTAGCGCTTTCAACTTTGATTGGGATTGGACGGCTTCTGAGGTGGTATGAAACACCTCGTCGAGTTTTGCTGGGAAAATTTTCTGAGTAGTATTATGGACAGTCTCGTACTGGCAGCAAGAAGCTATTATCCAGATCAAACATTTTTATTTAATCGCCGAGTAATGAGATCAAATATGACAAATCAAAAAAATCTTCCAAATGTTTGTTGGATACAACATGACTGAAAAAAATTGAAAACCTTCAGGTTACATAAACACGTTGTACGCTATTCGTAAAACTTCCAAGTGGTCATTTTAGCATAAATCATTCATAGCTTAAGCAAAGTTTTTGTACTTTCAATAGTATAAAAACTAAAATCAGAACGGTAAAAATTACCAGCCGCAAGACAGCACAGCCAGATTGTTCATATCTTCGCATGAAACTGAAGATCCACTCTTCAACAAAACGCTGAACATAATATTAATAAACTCCTGGATGAAAATCAATTCTATTTGGTACAATCAGACACCAAATTTCATCTTCGAAAGGGTGTTTGAAACATGCGCTTCTAACCTAAAAATTACGTTTATAGAAACAGAAATTAAAGGAAAATGAATCCATTAATAACGATTGAAAATTCACCAACATGCATCGCTCCATCGATCATAACGCATAAATGAGAGCACTAAAATGTTATCGAATGATTGAGTGGAGCATTGAACACGATTGTACACATTTATTATCTTTCTTAAATCAATTCTTGAACAGTTGACGTTTGAAAAACAACTTTTGTCCTATCCATAGAGATACTTCTTCGCTCTCTCTCTCTCGCTTACGCCTTAGCCAAAAACAAAGTCTATATGACCGTGTTAAATAGAGCTTACTAATTCCTCATTAATGAGTGCTTAAAAATAAAAGTCATTTGACGGTAAATATGGCCCTTCGAGCAAAATTATTCTAACTGCACGATTTGATCATGTTTCTGTACTTATTTTGATTGTATTATTTAGCATTCTTTTCTATAAATACAAATAAAGCTTCTTTTTTAAACGATAACATTATGCTGCATACAACATACATCAGGATGATATCTATACATTCCGCCCTGCAACAGCAGAATAATGAGCTTTTATACATATTTTTATTAAAGAAAGAAGTTCTCAAACAAATGAATTGAAAAATTTTGAAAAAATTCTTCATTTGAAGTGGGTGAAAGTATTCATTTAATCAATAGTCATTCGTTTTTCTCCAATTTAAGTTTTTATAGCTATTATAAAAAGTCAACATTTTAATTTTTTTCATAGACTTATTATCAAATTTTTCTTGTTGATCGTTTCGAGTTTGTCGTTTTTGTTCTTGTATTATTATATTTTCTCAAATTTTCTCTACCATAATTTCTAACAGTTAAGGATTTTTTCTGTTGTACAACTAATTTTCTATCTTGACTAATTTTCGCTATTATGTTTTGACTTTGTTGCAAATTTTCTGTTAAAATTCGATGCATAATCAAAAAATATGTACGTAAACGGAACATTATTGTACGAAATTTACCAAATAAATTCTCATCTATCTCAATTACTAAACGCCATGCATCTTCACGTAAAGGATTATACAAAACGTTTCGAACAGCCTTTTGGCGATCATGACGATAATCTTTCAACACATTTAAACACAACATAGCACCTTTTGACAAATCACCAAGAATATGAGTTAGACCTGCAACAGAGAGAATTCTAATCGTATGCTAGAGTACTCTAAACCACCATGTGTTCATCGTGCTGTAACTGAGAAAAAAAGGATAAAATTTTAGAGAGTCATTATAAATTGCAGCTTGAGTTAAAAAGCAATGCTGATTCTCAATAAAATTATGAATGATTAAAAAAATTACTCAAATTTTGTCGTTGATGAAATTCATCGGCTCCTTGATGCGATTTACTAATAAAGTCAATGATGATAGCAGTACTATTTGCTAAATCATTAACTTCTTTGCAATAGTATTTAATACACATTTCCAGTTCATCGATATATTTATTTGAACAAATTTCATTGTTTGCTTCCGCTTGGATAGTTGAATCACTACCAGCCAGTAGATTCGATTCTGTTTGTTTTCGTACATCAGAAAAATGTTCCATAGCTAAACGACCATTGTTTAGTTCCACATGAACATTCAATGCCATCAAAATAAGTCGACTAGAAACAAATTCAAGACGATCGTGAAGAAGCGACAATGAAGAATCTTTGTTGTTCGTCATTAGCGATGTCTCTGTCGGCGATTAATCATTCAAATTGAACATAAGGTGATGAATCTTTTGTTTTATAAGAAAAAATAATTTCCGAATAACAGTAAGCTTATATATATGAAACACTGATAAATTTTTTCTTCGTAAAGAGCTCTTAGTTACTTATAAAGGCGCGACTGTATAGTTATATAGCAGGGTGCGAAAATATCATCGTATCTTAGCCGCGTGATTGTTTTTTAAATTCGGAACTAGGACCGAAACAAAATTTTAAAAAGTTCACAGGGACTGGGACCATTTTCGAAAATTGTGGACCCGTAAAAATGACTATTATGAGAATTTTTTCAAGTTTTAGGCATAATGAGAGGAATGAAGTTGATCGAAAGGAGGAAGAAATTCAAGACCATCTCGATATCCAAATCTGACAATCCAATGAAGTAAAAATTTTAGGTAAAAATTGAGACGAGTTGAAAAGCTCGTGGGAAAGTATCGAGTAGTTGAAAAGCAGGATTGTGTATAGTGTTGTCACACACATTGGCCTGTATAATTGAATATGTTCTCGCAATAAATAGGAAAATGCTAATCCATCTAATGAGGAAGTATATTTGAGTGTCCCTACAAATGTAAAAAGAGATGAGCCATTTTATCCAGTTGTTCAATTTGATTTCAAATCTGCAAAATAATCATAGCTGCTCCAATCAAATAGAAACCAAGTTAAAAGCATGCGATAGGGTAATTCGATCTGGGTGAACGAGACGGTTCGAATTCGCCATAGTGACTGTCAACAATAAAATCAGTTAAAGTTCAGATTTATTCGATTAAAATAACATTTCAAAATAACAAAGTCTGCCCGTCTCAACTGTATCGCTATCTGTGGTTCGCAGAAAGTGAAGAGCAAACGACCAGCAGCAAAAGCAGAGCAGAAACGAGGACAATGCTCTTCTTGCTTGTTGTCGCCCTGTTCGGTGGCTGGATGATGCCCGAATCTGTAGGAATGATACGTCCTTTGATATTGATCGAAAATTCAGGCAAAAGTGGTGCATAGTCACCGGATAGTGACGAAGTTGCATTGGCAGCAACCAGTTGAGAAAGAATGTCAGCGAATATGAGCACATACTGAATGCTAGACCAGCTTTCAGTTCCCAACACAACCTTTTGGTCGAAGTTAGGAATATAGTCGAGAATGAAACCCCCGTCGGGTAACATCGAGTCCAGAGAGGTGCTGTGTGCGGGGATCATAGAAGTCAAGTTGACTGTTTGAGCCAAATGCTGACTTGCCCATCTTCGCGTCCTGTCAAGTATTTGTTGATCGGGCTTGTTTGTTCGATTATGAGGAGAGTCGAGTGTCCGCATTCTAGCCGTGTTTATTCGAGGTTCAATCCGTAAATAATCTGACTGTTCTGGTGGATACCCGGTAAATTGATCATTGTCAGCGGAGGCAAACAACCAGGTTAATACTGTCAAATTCGAGTTGGAGACTGGCAATCGACGAAAATAGACAGCTGTAGGAAGTTCATACAAGCTGATGTTGAGATGAAGTCCCAGTGTGTCCATAGTTGTTTTGGCATAAGCCCCTGGTAAAAGGATAACCTTGGTGGCATTGATCGACCCTCGAGTCGTTTCAATGTGAACACGTGACTGGTTGTCTGTGCGACTCAGATTGAGAAATGTCTCTTTGTCACGCACCAGAATATTTGGTGTCTTTGCCACAAGTGCCCGCAAAGTAGTAAGTAACAGCGTTACATTCACATAACCTGATTCGCTCATATGCACGGCAGATTGATTGACGGTCATAAAAGGATGTTCATTCGCGACTTGTGTGGGCGAGAGTAGAGTGCAGGTGGTGATTGAGAGGTTGCGACAGAACTCGGCCATACTAGAAGCCGATCGACCTACATACAGAAAGCCACTTGATGTAGTCAACAATGAGCCAGTTGACAGATTTCCTTGTTTCTCCAGCTCTCGCCACATGGGAAGAACAAGCTGGCCCAATCTGCTCAAGTGATATTTGTTAGACACTTGATAAAACGGAGCAATTTCTAATGGTTCTACATCGTCCTGTCGCTCAAGAACAACAATACGTCCGACTTTCCATTTTGTGGCCAGATTCAAAGCAGTGGCTAGACCGAGTGGGCCACTACCAATAATGGCAACATCGAATTCTTCCTCCTATAACAGCAGACCAGAAGTATCGTTAGCTACATTCCTAAAGATTTAACTACGAGGCTTTGTGAGCCATCATCAAGAAAATCTGAAAACATGTCTAATGTGGCTTTTTAAAATGTAAACTAAACCCCCCCACCCATAATAGAAGCCCCCCATGGAGAATCGATGTGGAAGGTGTATTAGAAGCCCAAGGGCTTCTATTACGTCGGAAAAATAATTTAAATTTTTTGAACGACACATTTGATCGACACGCGTTTTTTTACTTTAATTGTTCTTGTGTGATGTCGTGTGTAAAAAAAGGAAACGAATAAAATTTACATTTTTTATCTCGAAAAAGATTTTTTTCAGATTAATTGA